GAGAGAGAGTGTGTGTGTGAGAGAGAGAGAGAGAGAGAGTGTGTGTGTGAGAGAGAGAGAGAGAGAGAGTGTGTGTGTGAGAGAGAGAGAGAGAGAGAGTGTGTGTGTGAGAGAGAGAGAGAGTGTGTGTGAGAGAGAGAGAGAGAGAGAGTGTGTGTGTGAGAGAGAGAGAGAGTGTGTGTGAGAGAGAGAGAGAGAGAGAGAGAGTGTGTGTGTGTGTGTGAGAGAGAGTGTGTGTGTGTGTGTGAGAGAGAGTGTGTGTGTGTGTGTGAGAGAGAGTGTGTGTGTGTGTGTGAGAGAGAGAGTGTGTGTGTGTGTGTGTGAGAGAGAGCGGGCAGTCAGCGCATGACACACATTCATACGTCATCAGGAATAATAAACATGTTTAGGCATATATCAGTAATTTCAGGACAAATATACTACATTTTATTATTAAACAGAAATGATTGACAACATCTTCCATGATTTGGTGCAAAAAGCACTTGAAAATACATCGTGATTGAAATGCTGAGTCTGCTTACATTCAACTTCAACAATTTATACAATAATCTTTTTTTCTAATGAAATTCTGGCAGGATAAAATCGACAAACATTTTCATAAACTTCCTCCAAAAACTTGCTGTGCAGTCCTCGCGCGTCTCATTAGCTGTTTGTCCTCAGCTGGTAATCTAAACACATGCAGATATAAATAAATGATGATAATTAATCCCAATCATCCTCTTCACATCTCCTGATCTTTTATAAAAACCTGCTTTGTGAGAGGATAGACGTCGACTATTCTTAGTGTTTTCCTTTTTCGCAATTTGTTCTATGTTGTAATTATGAGGCAAGGCAGGAGAAGTATTGCACTAATGGTCAAAGCAACGAGTTTCTAGCAGGACCTGATGGATATAGCCCCTTTTTCTTTCTGTATATGTATATTCATTATTCATGTGTCTTTGTCTATAGATTTAGTTTAAATGATTGAAAATATGCATGTTTCACATGGTTGCTTGTTTGTATGAATTAGAAAGCCTAATCAAATATGAACCATGAAAAAGAAAGAAAGCCCTGCCTTGTTAGTGTTCTGCGCTCACCTCCGCTCTGTGTGATGTAGCGGACCCACGGCAGCGCCTGATAGCCGCTCTTCTCGATGATCTTCATGTATCGCACCTTCACAATAAAATAGATTTGACATGAGTTGCAGGACTGATCACACAGTCTCTCTTCAGATCTTAAACACGATGACACGAGTGTAAACAGTGATGGTGAATGCCACGCTCACACCTGTATGCCGGACACGGTGAAGTACGGGATCTCAAACCTGACGGTGATCGGAGGCCTTCCCTCCAGCTCGTGATTCTCCACACTCGGCAGACCGAAGTGAGCGCGCATCAGAAGCTCCTTTCCACCCTGTCGACCACACCAGAGCTCAGATTTACACAGATCCAAGTGTGTGAGGGTCAGAAACACATCAGTGATAACGTCGCTGGGCATCGGTAATCGCTTTCTCACCGGGAAGGACTTAATGCTCCACACCACCAGGTTCTTCTCAGGAACGTATTTAGCGTGACCTGTGCTGGTTTTGAACTTGGGAGAGTCGGCGTCGCTCGGCACCGGCACGTGGATCTCCACATTATTGGCCACGGACTGCTTTTTAAACTGGCCTTTAGCCTGAAATGCAGAGAGAGAGAGAAAATCTACACATACTGAACAATGCTGAAGCTGTAGATTTAGACATGAAATGTCTCCAGTGTGGAGTAATGAAGAAAGTCTTGCTCACAAACCTTCACCATGATCTCCACACGACTGTGAGAGAACTTCTCAATAACAGACTCGATCCAAATGAGCGGCTTCACCTGCAGACCAACCAGAGATGGAGAAGATGAACAGAGAGACTGACACACATCGGCTGTGCGACGCTGCTGCAGCAGATCTTCTCCAGAAGTCACTTTGTTTATTCTATGGACAAGTTGTGAGATCTGAAACAACTACGGTCAGGACTAAACTCACTCCGGTTCATACACTGTGAAGGCGTTGAGTAGCTCTAATTATCATGAGTTGAGTTATTGTGTGCTGTAGGAACAGAACTGTAGTCAACAACTAGCTGTCTGTAACGTCACAAGCATCATGGTTACTCTTTTCTATTTTTTTTCATGTAATACAGCAGTAAACAGGTCAACTGTGTGGCTGCAGAGGAAGATAAAACGGGTGTTTTGGGAGAGAGAGGTTAAAACAAAAACCCTAAGAGGCTGAAAGCAGCAGAAATATCCCAAAATGGATAAAACGAAGTAATAGATGCTTTCCAAAGTCGTCATCATTACTGTGGTTATCTGTTGTTATGGTTACAGGCAATACTCCTGAGGAACTAGAAAATAAAACCGTAATTGACTTCAGCTAGCCATTATTCAATCTGCTCGTGTCTGTTGTTGTGTAACAATCGTGTCAGTCGATACACGATCTGACGCTTACGTGTGTGTTGATCCGGTACGACATGAGCTCAGACTCTCCGTCAGGCGGGATGAAGGAGATGGTTCTGTCGCTCTCGAACCGTGACAGACGAACACACTGATGAAACTTCACATCCTCCATGGCCACAGACTTCCCTTTGTCTCCTGCACACACACACACACACACACTCACACACACACGTTAGTAGGACTGATCCTCTTCATCAGTTCATCACACAAACAGTGTAATATCGTCTGGATCTTACGGCCGGTGAGGGCGAACAGCATGCGGTCGTTGAGGCCCAACCGGAGCTCCGGCATTCCTGAGAGCATCGTCTTGAGTTTGATGCTGCCCACGATATCGCTGCTCATCACGCTGCCATTAGCGTTCACCTGCAAACACACACACACACACACCTCGTCAGCACACACACTACACGAGCCACAAACAGCTGCTGGAAGAAGCAGTCACGCACCAGCACGTTAATGGACTCGATCACGTCGATGAAGACCTCGTTCTTCTTGTATTTGATGCCCTCGGATCTCCAGGACACGGCGTTGGTGACGGTGGTGGGCACTTTGGTCTTGGCCACCTCCAGCTTGTTCCCCTTCTGCGTGATGTACCTGAGAGAGAAACACACGTGAGGAGACGAGCTTCAGCATGACGATCGTGTGAAGCCGACGGCTCTTACTCCTGAAGGATCTTGCTGTCTGTCGTCTGCGGGAAACCGAAGTCCATGAGCTCGTCCAGCAGCTCGTACACCACCACGAAGTTATCCTGGATGCTCTCCTCCTCCAGCTCCTTGAAGTACTCCGTGAACACCTGAACACACGGCACAGGAGAAGCACGCTCGTTTCTCAGCGTGACATTCAGCGCCTTCAGTTAACATTGAAGAATTAACCCGGTAGTTAATGAAGGACCAGTCGTCTCGGACTCACCTCCACCAGCTTGTACAGGAAGGCGTAGACCAGAGACGCATTGGAGTTCTTGTTGGTGGTGGCCACCACTGATGGTATCGGCAGGTTAAGCGTAACAAACACACGTTTACTGACTGAGACACCATTAAACGGCTCTCTTGAAGATCATTACTCGACAGGATTGCACACGATCTCATTTGCACTGGTTTTTACAATCAGATCGTGAGGTTCGTGATGTTAAGGATACAGTAGAGATTGCTGTGTTTGATCCACAGGAAGTGGACGTTGCCGTGTGACATCACTGGGCACACAAGCCCCTCCTCTTCCTGTAGCATTAGCAGGCTGAAGAAGTGGTCGATCTCTGACATGTCCACATCGCCTTTATAGTTGCGGCATATCAGCACCTGATGGAGGACAGGTTAGGAAACATGCGGCAGTTCATTATGTTCATCTCTCAGAGACTCTTTCAATGAGGCCATCTGTAATAATACTCCTTCCTCTCTGGAGAGGAAATGACATCTGCTCATTCTCTGTTTGTAAAGCAGTTCCGGTAGAAGAGAAATCAAATACTACCATACGACATTAAATAATAGAACACTTTTTCTCCATTAAAGACAGCTGTAGAAACGATTAAACACAGATCATGACAAACTGCGGCTTGCAGGTGTTTCGCACTTAGTTAAATCAGGTGAAATGATCTACTAATATCTTCTACACAGCCGCTCATTAAGAGTCATAATTACCTTCCCCTTCAGATCCAGCACGAACACGGCTGACGCAGACATACTCGACGCCTGTAAATCACCGGAACCGGTTTAAAGTAGGTTTAGCGGCATTCCTGTATGCGGCGGAGAGCTGCGGACTCACCTCGAGCGCCCGTTCCGTGTCCTGCGCGGTGACGTCACGCAGCGCCAGGTAGAAGCGTGCCAGCGATCACGTGACTGCGAGGCGCCAGTAGAGGGCGACATCAGCCCCCTGCAGCACCAGAAGCTGCTCAAGACAACCTGCAAACCTCTCGAGCTTAAACTAGTAGACGAATTCTTTGTTTATGTATAATAATAATAATAATAAAGATAAAGATAAAGTTGATGATGATGATGATAATTAGATTATTATATTTAGTCGCCATTTAGCATTATTACTCTTCTAACCCAGACACACTGAGAGACAGCACTGTTCATCGCTTACAATATCATCCTTATTGTCCAGCTGTGAGAAAACTGAACATGGTCATTTATGTTTTTACGTCTATTAAAGATATTTTGTGTCTCTCTGTGTGTGTGTGTGTGTGTGTGTCTCTCTGTGTGTGTGTGTGTGTGTGTGTCTCTCTGTGTGTGTGTGTGTGTGTGTGTCTGTCTGTGTGTGTGTGTGTGTGTGTCTCTGTGTGTGTGTGT